CAGAGAAGAAAATCTTTCGGTCGCTACCCGGATTCGAACCCGGGACCTTTGAATGAGAGGCCGACACCTTAACCTCTAGGCCACAAGAGCCCCCTTCTCTCTGTCTCCGTCTCTCTCTCTCTGTCACTCTCTCTCTGTCACTCTCTCTGTCTCTCTCTGTCTCTCTCTCTGTCTCTCTCTCTCTGTCTGTCTCTCTCTCTCTGTCTCTTTCTCTGTCTCCCTCTCTCTCTGTCTCCCTTTCTCTCTGTCTCTCTCTCTGTCTCTCTCTCTCTCTCTGTGTCTCTCTCTGTCTCTCTCTCAATGTCTCCCTCTTTCTTTATATAGCTCTTTCTGACACACACACACACACACACACACACACACACACACACACACACACACACACATACACACAAAAAAACAACAACAACAAAAACAAAACCAATATGCTTCTTTTTCCTGTCCTTGAAACATTAATTCGGTCAAAAATGTGCTAAGCCCAACATTATATTGAAACTAGGAACACATGCTCATTGTTGTTTCTTAATGTGAGGTATTTGTCGCGTGAGCTCAAGAAATAATTTATCAAAATTCAAATTCCGAATACTGAGAAAAAGCAAGAACTGATAGATCTACATAAATAAAGTTCAATGTTTAAGAAGAAAGATACTTGTTTTTGGGGGTTTTTTTGTCTCCTGAAATGTTTCGCTTTTTTTCTTTAAAAAAAGATTTTTTATGTAAGTGTTTTACGGTGCTCGCAACTGTATTTTCGGTTGGTAGGAAATTTTGAATTTTACCCGTGTGGCAGCCGAAGCCTACTCTGCTCGATTTTGGACAACCAGGGAATCTTTGACGTGCGAAACTTGCTCACGTGATCGCCGAGATTTTTCACCCTTATCTGAGAAGGCTAGGTGTTTGATCTTACATACCATAAGATCAGGGGTGTAGCTGAAAGACAGCAGTAAGAAGGAGCCAAGGAGTAATAGTAGAAAGGTTGCAGTCAGGAGCACAGAAGAGTGGACAAAGAAGGTGTGGGAATAGGGGCAGAAAGTGGTGACGAAAGCAGACGACAAAACATTGCTAGAGAACAGAAAAGATGAAAGAAGAACAATTTACAGAAGAGAATTGTCCGTCGCTATCCGGATTTGAACCCGGGACCAATAGAAATAGAGTCGGACACCGCAACCTCTAGGCCACAAGAGCTCCCTTTTTGCTTTCTGGGCTAAAGGTGACAATCCATAAGTGCGGGACGGCAGCGGCAGCGGCAGCAGGACGATAAAAATCGCACCCAGGAGCGATTCTGTCGGTGCCGCAGCTCTGCCGCAGACAAAAATATGAATGTGGCGGACTAGGGTTGCTTGTGAAGAATCTCTGTTGCAGTCAATTCATTTGACACGCAAAACTTGCTGAAACCATTGCACCCCAATGTCGTCGTTCATCCACACATTTTCTTGATATGCCCAAATGGTGCCTTCTGGGCTGTCCTGAATGGCAAAGGAATGGATGGACCTGTTCGTTATGCTAGTGACAAAAGATCAAGATAATTGCAACTTTACAATACTGGCGAAGTTACCCGTCGGCCGTGGCGAACTTACCCGACAATTGGTAACATTAGTAAAATGTATATATTTAATTAAATTGATTGAAATAACAATTAAATACCTCTTCATAGAGATAATAAAGCAGTTAAATTATGGAATCAATGCAAGAACCTAGAAAATATGGAAAAGATGGTGATATGTGCCTTTTGACTTTCGCTCTTTCAGAAGTTCACGCACCCAAAATCGATGCTGCCTTCGATGTCTTTTACGTTCTTTCTTCTTATTAACCAGGAGCAAAATCATCAGCAGTATTCGTCCTTGTTTCATTAACCTAGACAGTTTTGACTGGGTAGGTGCCATGCTGCTCAAAACAAAAAAGGCGCCAACATGCCTTCCACAATTGCATTTGCCACTTGCGATATCGCACATTTCGTCCCGCACATATGAATTTAATGTGACTTGCAGTACCGCACATATCGTCCCGCTGCCGTGCCGCTGCCGCTGCCGTCTCGCACATATGGATTGTCACCTTAAGAACATTAGAAGGGCTTGCCGCCGAATTGTTCTATGAAGTCCTCGCATAGATCCCGCCTTATCTCTTCTCTCTCTCTCTCTCTCTCTCTCTCTCTCTCTCTCTCTCTCTCTCTCTCTCTCTCT